GAGGTCATAGTCTGTTAAAATGTCGCCAACATCTGGAACTGTGTCTATAATGACAACATCTTTATCATTAAGAGCAACCGAATTCATTCCATTTCCTTCCACTATAACTTCCCTTTGTTTTCCTGGAGTCTGCCGCTCAAAGATTAGGATAGAGTTCTCTCTTGGATGCATGGGGTTCTGTGAAAGAAAACGAAGTAATAAAGGTTAAGATTTTTCTACACTGGAGACACTGGAAGATTTTTGTTACACCTTCTCAAGGTTAAACCACAGAAGATCGCAATAAAACTTTGATGATCCATTGAAGGCAATAGCTACCACATCTCTCATCTGTGAGTACCCTAATTAACTGATCAATCGGAATGGGTTTGCAATTTAGGATTTCTTCCCAGTCAATGAATTGTCTCCAAAAACAACAACTGTGGAAATCCCCTATAAAAACAAAAAACAAAAACAAACAACCCCCCAAACAAAAAACAAAAACAAAAACCCTCTTCTGCACTTGCCTTAAGGGACACGGTTTGGCTGCCTTGATTCATTGTATCCAAATTACAATTCTTTGTTTCCCAAATAAATGCTATTTCCTCTAAATTCTGTGTCATTTTTTAAAAATCATCAATTCTAAAAAAAGATCCTGACTTTGGGATTTTATGAAAGATTTTAATAGTCATCATGGAAGGCCTTCACTTTATAACTTGCATTTTCCCATTTTCCAGGAAGTTTTAAATTTTTTATTGCCTCTGATAATCAAGAACAAAGAAAATGTAAATGGGAAAAGTCCATTCCTATCTCTGTCACCTTCAAGCTATCCAGCTGGGCCGGCATTTCCAGTTTTGACTTGGGTCTCTGGCGAGCTTCCTGTTTTACTTAATATATATGTCCTCCTCTCGTGTCCATGAGCACACTCTCAGCTCCTGCATAGGTCCCTGGTGATCTCTTAAGTGTTTATTCATTCCACATAGCCAGAGGCAGAATTAATCATCCCTGGTTATCTGAAAGTTAAGATTGGCTCATTTATTCATTTAACAAGTGTCCATTATGTCTCCACTATGAGCCATATCTGAATGCCATTAGGAAGTGGGTGAATTGCCTCGCGCCAGGAACGATTCTTTCAGAGGCAAATGGACTAGCCTCATGGAAAATTTCTCTCCATACTCATGTAAAGGACAGTAAATTTATTCTGCCCCTTTTGTGGGGCGTCTGGACCCAAACAGATGACTTCATTGCGTTGCTGTCCTCACCAGCAAAAGGCCTTCAGCGATGTTTTCTCGGTTATGCAGAAGCTAGTCCAAAAGAAGGAGGGAGGGGAGAGAGAAAGAGAGAAGGTGGGGGAAGTCCATCAAAACAGAGGAAAAATTGGTCGACTAGAGGAAGGGGCCTGAGGGGGAGGGAGAAGGATGGGGTTAGGGAAGAACAGTGGGGTGAACCTGACCTCACTTCCCTATGTGCATACTGAGCATACCACAGTGAATCTCAGCATCAGGTACATCCACAAGACACTCACTGAAAACAACAGCAACAACAGCAAAACTAAAAGTAAATAGAAAGATCAACAGAGTTCAGGGAAGAGAGCAGAGGGAGGGAGGAGGGCAGTACTGGGGACTGAATTAGAGCAAATTATGTTTCTTGCCTTTATAATTATGTCAAAGTGAATCCTAATGGTATGTATAACTAAAAAGAACTTTCAGTGGGCATTGAGCCCCTATTTGTCAAATAAATGTGTAGCCCTCACTAAAGAGGCTTTTGAAAGATTCTGCTTTCTAACAATCATAACCAGCACTTTCTACAGCTCTCCTCCCTTGGATTATGGATCAGCAACATTTCAGACTGAGACAGTGAGTTGAAGACTTGGGTTTTAAGATGGCCGTCTGGTATGTTACTAAGGAAACAACACCACACACTGTCTCTGGGCTGTGTGTGCAAAGTCTGTGGTCACCTGAATTAGGGAGAGTTTGCCTACTGCCCTCACAATGCCACGAATCTGAGCAGAGGTCCTCCAGGCTGTGGGGAATGCCAGCTTTGGGGTTTTCATCTGCTGTTGCTGCCAGCTCAATTCCACACTGTAAGAACAAGGCATCCAAGAACGTCTCAGAACGTCTCCTCCTTCTTCTGCAGGTTCCTTAATTTTTTCTCTCCTCCAACTTCTCCCGTCTGCACCGTATGTTATAAAGTGGGTCTTGATGAATGATTTAGTCCTACTGTCCATAAACAGTGCTGGTAAATGATTAACAACCAGTCTGAGGTGCAGGGAAAGGTGCTGATTTGTTGTGTTTATCCATTTCCATGGTGTAAATATTTCCAGTCATGGCTGATTTCCAGCTATCGACCCCCACCACGGAACACAGAGTTAAGGGTGAGATGCACACAGTTGATTCTTGTGAGCTGCTGTCAGGTGCACATATGACAGGATACAAAGTCAACATACAGAAATCAATAGCTTTTCTATATACCAACCATCAATCTGCTGAGAAAGGAATCTGGAAAACAATCTCATTCACAGTAGCCTAAAACACCTCCACCCAGGAAGAAATCTAACCGAGGAGGTGAAAATTGCAGAACACTGAATAAAGAAATTGAAGAAGACACTAGAAGATCAAAAGACCTCCCATGTTCATGGAGAGGAATATTGTTAAAATGGCCATGTTACAAAAAGCAATACAGAGTCAATGCAATCCCCATCAACATACCAATGACATTCTTTGCAGCACTAGAAAAAATAGTCCTAAAGTTTATTTGGAAGAATAGAAGACCCTGAATAGCCCAAATGATTGTAAGCCAAAAAAAGCAATGCTGAAGGCATCACAATACCTGACTTCAAATCATACTACAGAGCTATAGTAACCCAAACTGCATGGTACTGGCATAATACACAGACCAGAATAGAAGGCACAGGGACAAACCCAGACAGATACAGTCATCTGATCCAAAACATACCCTGGAGACAAGGCAGCCTTTTAAATGATGGTGCTAGGACTACTGGTTATTCATATGTTGAGGAAAGAAACTAGACCTTCATCTCTCACCCTCCATAAAAATCAACTCAAAATAGATCAAAGACCTCAGAATTCAATAGAAACCGTGCCGCCCCTAGAAGAAAACTTAGAGTCAACCCTCCAGCATATAGGCACAGGCAATGACTTTCTCAACAGGACTCCTACAGCTCAGGAAATAATGCCAAGAGTTAATAAATGGGATGTCATCAAATTAGGAATGTAAAGAGGGAACCCACAGAATGGGAGAAAAGCTTTGCTAGCGACTCTTCTAACAGAGGATTAATATCTAACATATATAAAGAACCCCCCAAAACACCATAAGTAAAAGAGCAAATGAATTAAACAGAAACTTCTCAAAAGAAGAAACACAAATGGAAACAAATAAATGAAATAAAGTTCAACATCTTTAGCAATTAGGGACCTGCAAGCCCAAACTACACTAAGATTGTATCTCACCCCAGTCAGAATGGCCAGCAGTCAACAATACCCACAATAGTAGATGCTGGAGGGGATGTGGGGAGAAGGAACACTGTTAACACCGTTGGTGGAGTTGTAAATTAGTGAGGCCATTATGGAAATCAGTGTGGAGGGTCCTCAAAAGACGAGGCATGGAACCACCCTGTGACCCAGCTCTCTTGCTGTTTGGTACTTATCCTCAGGGATTAAAGTCATCGTCCTACAGTGACACAGCACACCCATGTTTACAACAGCACAATTCACTATAGCCCAATTACAGAACCAGGTGTTCATCAATGGGCAAGGACAAAGAAAATGAGGTCTATCTCCACAATGGGGTTTAGTCAGTCCCAAAGAATGGAATTATATCACTTTCAGGACAACGAGTGGGACTTGAGAGCATATATTAAGTGAAATAAGCCAAACTCAGAAGGTCAAGGGCCTTATGTTTCAATCTCTTATGTGGAAACTAGAGAGGAAAAGAGGGGAAAAGGTGGGAGGGGAATATCTGAAAATAGAAGGGAGATCAGTAGAGGAAAGGGACTAGGGAGAAGGAGGAGGGAAGGGAAAGGGATAATACTGGGGAACAATATTGACGAATCATATTGTTTTATCATGTGAGTGTATGAATACGTAACAACAAATCCCACTATTATGTGTAAATTATAATGCATCAATATGTGGCGCATATACACAATGGAATAGTACTCAGCAATCAAAGAGAATAAAATCATGGCATTTGCAGGTAAATGGATGATGTTGGAGAAGATAATGCTAATGAAGTTAGCCAATCCCCAAAAAACAAATGCCAAATGTTTTCTCTGATATAAGGAGCCTGATTCATAGTGGGATAGGGAGGGGGAGCATGGGAGGAATAGAGGAACTCTAGATAGGGCAGAGGGGTTGGAGGGGAAGGGAGGGGGCAGGGGGTTAGCAATGATGGTGGAATGTGATGGACATCATTATCCAAAGTACAGGTATGAAGACACAAATTGGTGTGATATAACCAAAGATATGAACAATTGTGCTCTATATGTGTAATAAGAATTGTAATGCGTTTTGCTCTCATATATACATAATAAAATAATAAAAATATGGGAAAAAGACTCTTAATTTGAAGAGACTCCAGGAGACACAGCCGTGGAGCTGGGGACTGTGGGTCACAGTGGAGCCTTCAGAGCTCCTGGTTGTGCTCTCCGGGAGCAGGGTCTGTGATGGAGGTTGGGGAGGAAGCAGCATTGGGCAGAGAGAAACCAAACCGGGGCACAATCTTCCAAAAGCTGGAGAATTGTCCTTGTTGGGCTGAGGCATCTGGGCCATCTCAGTATGTGGGCTTCTCTGGGAGCAGTGCCACTGAGGCCACATGCAGGCTGCCCTCAGATCATGCTCCCTGCTGCTGGGCAGAGGCCTTCTGCAAAGGGGGAAGTAGGTAGCTCTACAGTGTTGGCCACATCAGCTACACTGAAGCCGCAGCCTGAAGGTCCTCCCTTCCTGTCTGCCAGCGCCACCTGCAGCTCTGCCCCCTACCTGGACCCTCCCTTCCTGGAGCTCCAACTCCCTGACTCCTCCTGCTCACAGTTGAAGACACCAGCAGGCTCCTTCCTGCACATCTGCTTCATCTCCCAGGCTGGACATTGCTGCCCGCATCCTGGCACCTTTGGGCCAGTGCTTGGGGTCTCTGGTGCTGACAGCTGCAGGGAACCTGCCCTCCTGAGCAGACCCACGGGGTTCTTGGGCAGGGGCTTGCTCCTAGGCCCCAGGTACTCTGGGTTGCAGGAAGCAGGGTCTGCTTTGGGCATAGATGGGGTCAACAAGGGCACCCAGGGCAGCCCCCCAGCCACTCTGGGGAAACTGAGAGCATCTGCCCACTGCATGGCAGAGGGAAGCCACCACCTCTGGGCTCCTGGGGTTCCTTTCCTTCATTTGCTTATGAGGCTCCTGGGGCTACAACTGACTGGCCCCAGTCCTGCAGCTGGTCAGGGATAGAGCTGGGAACAGAAGCTCTCCCAGAAGGCTCTTTAGACTTCCTTCCTCCTGGTGAGTCGCAGCCCTCCCCTTGCGACAGTGTGTGTGTGTGTGTGTGTGTGTGTGTGTTTAGAAAGGGCCTCATTAGCAGATTTATATTCTCCTCGGTTAGCTGCTCCGAGCCCCAGCCCCACTCTGGCAGGTGGCCTGTCTGTTTGTGGAGGAATTATCCTGCCTGCCAACTGGGTGTGGGGTTTACACGCTGGCTGGGCCGCAGGGAAATCATCTGGAAGCGCTGAGGTTTCCACTCCGAGCTCAGCCGCCAGCGCAGGCGCAGTGAGGAGGTGGCTTCCTGAGCAAAGGGGAAACCACCTCTGGGCGTCACCGTGTGCCCCAGCGGACGCAGAGGCAGTCCCTCAAGGCCTCGCTGTGGAGCTGAGGTTCTTCTGGCCCCAAGTTCTTCTTTTTTTGTAGTTGTAGATGGACAGTGTGCCTTTATTTTATTTGTTAATTTTTATGCCGTGCTGAGGATCGAACCCAGTGCCTCATGCATGCTAGGCAAGCGCTTTGCTCCTGAGCTACAGCCTCCCCGGGCCCCATGGGCTCTTATTTACTACTTTATCTTCTTTTCCTGGGCTCTTTTATTAACAAACATCATGTCTGTAAGAATGCAGTGACTGTTCAACCCCTTTTATGTGATCATTTTGCATATAATATTTAGTGATGCATTTTAAATTTCCCAGCTCCTACCACCTGTCTTTGTTGATTTTATCTTTTTTCCCCCACCATTTCATGGTGCATTTGTTAACTTTAAAATATATTCTTAATTTTTTTTTTTTTTGGTACTAGAATTGGACCCAGGGACACTTACCTACTGAGCCACACATCCTCAGCCCCCTTTTAATTTTTATTTTGAGACAGGTCTTGCTAAATTGTTTATAGCCTCGCTAAGTTGCTGAGGCTGACCTCAAACTTTAGATCCTCCTGCCTCAGCCTCTGGAGTTGCTGGGGTTACAGGTGTGAGCCACTATGCTGGGCTTTCAATATCCCTTCTGCTATTTTTAATCTATTTATTTAGTTGATCTCCTCTCTTAAAGACAAGCCAGAGGTCTAAATGTATATGGTAGAAGGGGCTGGAGCAGGGGTGATGTTCTAGCTGTGGAGTCACGTTCTGTCCTCAGGAGATGGTGAGGCTCTGGGCTCCGCTCAGCTCTGTGCTGCTGGACCTTTTTTTTAATGAAGCTCTCCTTCTCTCCTTGGGCAGATATTTGAATTAAAAAATGGCTAACAAAGAAGAGCTGGCAGAGCTCCAGCACTTAGTGGGTATAAAATAGTTACATTGGGACAAAGAAGGGGGTGGTGTATCAAATAAAAAGCATCATCAAGCCAGGTGCTGCGGTGCATGCCTGTAATCCCAGCCTCTCTGGAGGCTGAGATGGGCGGATCCAGAGTTCAAAGCCAACCTCAGCAAAAGCCAGGTGCTAAGCAACTCAGTGAGACCCTGTCTCTAAATAAAATACAAAATAGGGCTGGGGATGGGGCTCACCCGAGTTCAAGCCTCCCCCCTCTCCCGGCCAAATAAGAAGTATCCTCAAGCCAACAATGACTGAGGAACAGGAGGATTGTTTGGTGGCAGGGGATAGCATCCAAACGGGAAGCTTCTTTCTTCACCCAAAATGCCAGGGCTGGGTATTTCCTTTCCTGCTGCAAAAATCACAAGACAGATCAGAGCTCTATGCTCAGAGCAACAAAGCTGAAAAGTACAAGTCGGGGAGAAGCCCTTTCCAGCTAACGAGCAGCTGCCCCTGGAACACTAGGAGCAAACAACGGCTTGAGAGAGGGAAGATCATTGTGCATTTCAGCACCGCATAGGTCTGGCTTCAACCAGAGTCAGCAGCTGAGGGGAGCTCTGGGCTTCAAGATGGAGCTTTGAAGCAGGGCAGACAATGAGATGAGGGATTCTGAGTGAGTGGTTTTAACAACCCCAGTGCAAGAAGGGATGAGACAGAAGGGAAGAATGGAGCCAAACTAAGAGACATTTTCCCAAGTCGGGTCTGTTTTTCTAGTGATGAGGAATTAAAAAAAAAAAAAAATCACACAACTCTGCTGGGCGTGAATTGTAGCTTGATATGTGAAGAATTATGCTTAAGTTAACTCTTGAGTCAACTGCATTCTGAATGTCTATGTTCAATAATTCTCAGGGATTTTTTTTTTTTTGTCAATACACATGCATGAGTTTGCTACAGTTGCTATAACAAAGTGTCACAGTCTGGGCATATCAAGCATCAGAAATTTATTTTCTCAAGTTTCTAGCAGCTGAAAGTCGGAGATGAATCTCAGTGGGGCTGGTTTTCCCCAAGGTCATTCTTTTTGGCTTATAGATGTTGTCTTCTCCCTGTGTCCTTACGTAGTCTTCCTTCCTGTGTGTCTGTGTCCAAATCTGTCTTCTAAGGTGTCCAGTTCTATTGGGTCAGACCTCTATTGGGTCGTGCCTTCATTTTAACTTTATTACCTCTTTTAAGACCTATCTCCAAAAGCAGTCATATTCTGAGGAATTTGAGTTTGGTACTTAAAATATGGACTTTTTTTTTTTTGCCTGGGGGGGTGCATAATTCAACCTATTATAAGACCTTCTGGATATTGCTAAGGATGGATATCTGGTCAAGTTAAACCCAAGCGACAGTTTCTGCCAGAATTTTGGAGTACAGGCTGTGCAGAGCAGATAGACAATGTTTCCTGCAAAGATGAAAACTTCAAGTTTGATTCCTTTTAGAACTTTTAACTCCAGGAAGCTAGACACCATGGTGGACCCACGGCCTGCTCCCTCCCTGTTGGCTAATGGTCCTGTCCTAGTGAGGGTGCCCTGCCCATGATCTAGTCCCTCAATGAGGATGTGCATGGCCTCAACCCCATTGTCTACATTCTCTGGCCCTGAATCATCCTTGATATGAATATTTGTTGGATTTAACCATGCTGTTCCCCGGATGGATGCTGGGTTCTCCATGCCTGGGGCTGACTCCTGTGAGTTCTCTGCCCCTTGGCAACACAGCACCCAGGTGTAACGGGGTGATGAAACGATCTTGCAAGAAGGATCTCCAACCTCCATTCTCTCCTTCTCACTCACGAACAGAACCCGAGTCGTATTTGGGGTCAACAATAAGTCCAGCTAAAGACGCTCTATATCCCAGGTTCTTACCATCTTAAATAAGAAAAGAACAATTCTGGATAATGAGGTAGAAATGGAGGTAGCTAGCTAGGTGGGCTTCTGGATTTCAGGAAAGCAGTTGCAAGGGATCTGCCTCAATAAGTCTGTTCTTTTTGCTCTTTGACTTTACTGCTTCTTTCTGTTGAGAGTATGGATGTGATGGGTGGAGTGTCAACAGCCATCTTGTAAGTGTGAGCATGAAGATGTTAGAGTAGAAATTTAAACAGAACCTGGGTACCTCATCCCTTGGGGGATTGCCATACCAGCTCTGCCCTTTTCTAACTTCTTAAATCAAGGGAAAAGGAGGAAGCCTCCAGGGCTGCTGGCCCTCACAATGACTCCTGGAACATAATGTGAGTGGCCCTTCCTGATAGGCTACTCAGTAGCCTTGTGAACTCATATTTTGTTGAAGCCTCTATTTGGGGTTTCTATACCTGCCATCAAATGTTACTGTAACTGGTGCAGATGAGTTACAATAACTACCATCTTTCCCCCATTCTCCTTGAATGCCTATAGGGAATCTTCTGAAATAGAAGGGAAACAGGGGTGAACTCTTCCTGAGTTTGGATATATTTCCCTCGTTTTTCAGCTGTGTGACTTCAGGCAAAACACTTTACCTCTCTGAGCTTCACTTTCTTGTGTGCCATCATCCAGGTTTGTTGGTGGGATTCCGTAAGAGAATATATGGAGAGCTCTGGGCTCAGCACGTGGCCCTCCTGTCCAGGGACATCCCTTGGCCCTAAAGAGGAAGACTCCAGTCTCCAGTTCACACGTCCAGGACTGATCTTACATCTCTCTCTAGCTGCCTACAGGACATTTCTGGTGAGTTCTTCTGTTGGCCCTTTCCAGGACCATCCCTTTCTCTGATGGCATCACTGTCTGTCCCTATCTGGTTCTCTGCCTGTTGGCTCAACTTGCTGTGCCTGCCAGGACACACCACTCCATGCTGTGACAGGCTGTGCCATGCCTGTGTCCAAAGCTCTCTGGAATGAGATCTATGAGACATGTGTTAGGTTTCCGTAGCTGTGACAAAATACCTGAGAAAAACAACTTAAAAGAGAAAACCTCCATTAGGGCCCCTGGTGCCAGAGGTTTCAGTTCAAGGTCAGCTGGCTGCGTTGTTCCTGGGGCCTGTGGTGACGCAGAGCCTCACGATGGAAGGACCTGGCAAAGCTGCTCACCTCAGGGTGACTGAGAAGCAGAGAGGGTGGGGGGAAGAGAGGGAGAGGGAGAGGCCAGGGACTAGACACAGTCCCCCAAGGCAAGCCCCAGGGAACCACTCCCTCCAACTGGGTCCCACTCCTGCAGTTTCGGCCACCTCCCAATCACCCTTCAGCTATCAATGCATCCCTGGGCGAATCTACTGGTGAGGTCAGAGCCCTCGGGGTCAGTCCCTTCTCAAGAGCCGCACCTCTCAACCTGACTGCACTGGGGACCAAGCCCTGAGCCCATGAGCCCGTGGGGGCCATGCCCTGTGCAATCCATGGCAGGAGACCAGGCTGATGGGGGCCCCAGGGCTTCGAGCTGCCTTTCTGCTCCCTCCACGGTGGCTCAGGAGAGGGCTTTGACGGGGGCTTTTGCCCAGGGGCAGGAGTGGGAGCCGTTTATTGTAGGACAGGAGGGGTATATATACATTCCAAACAGCTTATCTTAATTAACATAAACTAGATACAGCGGTCAACCAATAAGGAATCTCCACACTTAATGGCTCGCTGGCGTCACTTCACAAACCACTCCCACTGGCAAAATGCCAGGAGCCATCCAGACTTGTTTACAGACTCTAACAAAGGCTCATGTGGTGCCATGGTCCCTGGGATCGGGCCGGGAGGGAGGAACCCAAGGAGAACTTGGAAACCAGTTGCCAGATCTCCCCAAACCATGGGGGGAAGAGAGTTCCCACTGCTGGGTCAGGAGAGCACCGTCCCGAGGGCCTTTGCGCTGAAGGGGACAGCCCCAGCACAGGGCAGGCAGACTGGGCAGGTTGGTGGGCGCTCTGGACCCCAGCGTCCCTGCCTGGATCCCCCCTTGGGTGTCTTCCAGTTGGGCAGGCCAGGGAAGTCACCCTCAATGCAGGTGCACCTGGGAGAGAGGTGCCCGCACTTCAGAGCCTCCCCATGCCCGGTCAGAGAGGCTGAGCTTCTGGAGGAGCCGGGGAAGCCGCGATGGTCCAGTCTGGGACAGAGTGGGCCGCTGGCCGGACCCCCTCATGATGCCCCCGGGTTCTCCTCGAGACTTAACTGTGCATCTCTCCAGCAAGATGGCCAGCCCAGCGCTGCCATCCCTGTGCTCCGTGATCACACTCGCAAAACCGTGTGTGTGAGAACACCTGGGTGTGTGGGTGTGCGTGTGAGAGGGCGTGAGAACCTGGGGGCTCTGTGCTGACCCTCTGGGCCCCTCCTGTGGCTCGCTATGGCGTCATCTGAGGGTTCCTTCACCTCTGCAGACTGAGACCCTCGGTCTCCACCTACAGGTAGATTTGGATGCCTCTGCCAGCCCCTGGGTCCCCAGGTCTTTCCCTTAGCTCTTGGGCTGGCCCTTCTAGTCCAGTCCCCAGCCATCCCTGTTATGCTCGAATTCAGGACCCCCAAAGACCACCAGAGACCCAAGATCGATGCAAGCAGCAAAGAGGTGTATATTGCGAGCTAGCTGGGTCCTCCGCTCGCACACAGCAACTGGTGACGCTGAGAGGCCCCGAGCCCAGGGTTTGCAGCAGTTTTATACACTCTTTGGAGAAGGCAGGGACCCCCACATACATCATAGCAAATCATCACACACCGCAGGAAAATCAAATAACAACTCTAAAACATGATTAGCACATTCACTGGTGGGAACAAGTTGGGTAGGGGTGATTGGTCAGTACAAAAGGGGGATTCGTTTGAACTGATTGGTTTGAGCCAAGAGGGGTGTACGTGCTGAACTACATGGTTTCCCAACTTGTTATCAACCACCATAAACCACTGGCATCCCAGGTATTTCTCTGTCTCATGCTGATTGGTGGCTGCTAGGGGGCTGCTATGGGTCCTCACCTAGCCTGACTGGGTCAGGGACACCTGGCGCAGCAGATCTCTCCTGTTATTTGTAGATAAACAACTTAGCAGGGTGGGAATGTGCTTAGGAGTACTCTGTGGGTTTTTCCAAGGGCTAAAGTCATGTCCCTTCCTTGGACAGGCTTTGCTCTGAGATAGAGGCTGGTTTTTTACCCGCTCCATCCTATCTGATTCTTTTGTCCCGTGGTTCCACTTGTCACAGCTGCCATGCCGACCTCGCCCCAACCAGGCCACACCACCCAGACCACACCGTGTTTCCACAGCGTGCCACACCAAACCAACCAAGCCCCTCGACACCGCACCGTGCCAGCACACACCAGAGCTGGTTGAGGGCTCCAGGAGGATCCCCGCTCACTCCCAAGACCCTGGCTGTTCCCCCTCCCCCTCTGTGACCTTTAGGTGGCTTAATTTGCTTGAATTCCACTCTGGGCTTCCCCCTTCAGCCTCAGGGAAGACACCCTGCCTCTCCCCCTGGATTGCAAAACCTGGGGTAGCATTCCATAGGACAGAGGGGTGACCGCTGTCCTCTTCTCCAGAACCCCCACCTCCCAAGCTGGGAGAACCACTACTTTTTTGTAGGAAACAAAGACTTTCCTTAATGTTCATATAAAACTATTTGCTAATATAAAACCACAATATTTAAATTTAATTTGTTAGAGTTCCATGTTTGCTTTTAAGAACCTAAAGAGTTATTTTGAGATTTATATTGAGGACGTATCCATATGTGTGTCTGTGTGTTTATATAGGGGTATACAGACATATATATGTACAGACATAATATACGCACACACAAACACACCTATATGTGTTTATACATGCACATACACACATAAACAGAATCATACTTATTATATATGCCCATATGTATAAAGCACTTAATGACTTTGTATAGATTTTAGTTTATCAAAAGATAAGTATGACCCACAAGAGAAATCAACCCTGGCCAGACTTATGATTTGTGCAAATAATTTTCATCTTCCTTTTAGTGTTTGCAGTGTCCTGATACCTGACAGTGTCTATAACTGAGCATGATTTTTATGGGAATCTTAGAAGTTCATGGTACCCCATGACTCCTTCCTGACCAATTCAGACCACGGAGGAGTTGGGGAATTAATATGTGTGTCAGTCTACTTTGTGTTGCTACAATAGAATACTGAGGCTGAGTAATCCATAAAGAAGAGGTTTATTTAGCTCAAGGTTCAGGAGGTTCAATAGCATGACACTAGATTCTGCTTGGTTCTAGTGATGGCTTCATGCAGATGACATCGAAATGCCAGGAGTGTATGTGGAAGTTATGGATGATAAGACAGGAAGCCAGAAAGATTCAGGGGAGGTGCCCACTCTCCTGAACCAACTCATTCTGCAACCCCCTGACACTGAGGACCAAGATTCCAACATGCAAAGCTTCAGTGGACCCACTCAACCCCTATCCAAACCACAGCCCCATGATAAGGAAGCAGTTTATCTACTGCACCTGCTATTCCTTGTCCCCTAGTGTTTCCCTAATGTTGTCAACTGAGACACAGGGTAGTGTCACAATAGACCAAGACAATAAAGTTATTTTATCTTAGATATTATTTTTTATATTAGTTTATTTGTAGATAGAGGTGAAGCATGCGTATAAGTGTATATTTTATTATTTGATTTGAACCTAACAATGAACGTGGGCTTTACCATGGTGGAAACTAGCCTTGGCCAAGAAGATCAGGGCTTTGGCACGCCGTTCTGCTCTTTCCCAGAAGAGGTTCTGATAGGAAGCTAACCTAGAAAGCGCCTGGTTGGCTTCCATTTTCCAAGTTACCTTTCCTTGAAACCATTCATTTTGACAGACAGTAGGAGTCGGAAGCCATGGAGGATGTCGATGATCCCTCCTGGGGAAAGGTCTGCAGAGGGAATGACATTGGAGCTGATTCCGGAAGGATGGATGGAGTCTGGCGAATGGGTGGGGGAGGGGTGGTGGAAGTCATCCCCCATTTGTGATGCAAATAGTACTGAAAGATACCCTGCACCTTCTTCCCCCCTTGGAATCACTTCTTGGATTTATCCCATTTCTTCCTTATTCCTGGCTGTCCTGGCTCAGGCAGGAGGGTTTGACCTTAACCTTGTGCTCTAACCTCCACACCTGTCTCTCTGCCCCACGGTGCATCCTGCACACTCTTACCATCTAGGCCGGCCTCTTGTGCCTCCCAGGGATTACTGAATTATGTATAGACTGAATCAGTCGTCATGAAGTCTGGTCCCCTGTTTCCTTCTGGTTCTCCTTTGTCTGCAGTGTACGGGATGAGCCTGTGCTGTATCTCTGACATTCAGTGTTTCTACATTCTGACCCCACCTGTCCTTCCCGCTTGCTTTCTCATTATTTTTCTGAACCAACTTTCCTTTCCTGACAAACAGATCTGCTTAAATTCACATAGAAAACTCAGACCTCTCTGTCTTTGTTTATATAATGCTGAAGTTTTCCCTGTAATTATTCTGGTCTCTCTCTCTCTCTCTTTTTCCTTTGCAAGGATTTAAGGTCATTTAAAGAATGTTAACTGGCAGATAAACGATTGTACATACTTATCATGTACAAAATGTTGTTTTGAGATATACGTACATTGTGAAGTGGCTAAATCGAGTCAGTTAGGTATGTATTACCTCATAGGCTTACCATTTTTGAAGTGAGATGTAACTGTCTTGATCTTAAACAGCTTTCAAAATCCCATTCAAGGTCAAGGTCTCTCCCTATCATAAACCTCTCTTCGGCTCTCTTCCTAGATCTAGTTTTCTCTCTTTCTTTCCTAATTGTCTGGTTTCCCCAAGTTGTTTTCTCAAACTCCTAATTTGTGTTATTGACTAATTCACTTTGAAATGAACAGTTTCTGCCTTAGAACTAGATTTTGTGATTTCCTGTCTTACAGTGACTGTGTTTCCAAGCTTGCAAGCTCCCTGAGAACAAGAATCAACCATTTATTTGTGTGCCCTTCGTGGAGAGTATAAAAATAAGCTGCTGTCCCGACCAATGTCCATCAGTGAACTGGTGCAGATCTAGAACCAGTGAACACAGCAATTCAGAGTTTGGAGACTTTCTTATTTAGCAGTGTGATATTGCAACAGCAGCGAAGCATTCACCTTGGGCTTGTTTCGTTGAAAAGGGAATAAATCAGATTGGGTGCTGTTGAGTTCTTGTGTTGAATTCCATGTGGCACCAGCTGCATACAAGCCACACACAGTAGGGCCACACATCAGCCTGTAGGATCTTCACATTGGACAGTTTGTGAAGTACCATACCAGAGAACCTATGATGGAAACCAGCATGCTACAAGTATTTTCCGGCACTTGTAGATTGAGACACACCACAGGTTTGAATACTTTAATAGCCATGTTTTTCTTTCCTATCCCTGTATAAAAAAAAAAAACAAAACGGAAGCATGAACATAAATGTGCACTCAATTCATATGACATATGTAACCCGGATGTTACCTGGTATGTTAGCTTTCTGTGCTATAACAAAATACCTGAGAAAATCAATTTAAAAAGAGCAAAGACTTATTTGGACTGATAGTTTTGGAGGTTTCCATTGGTGGTGAGTTGGCCCCCTTGCTTGTGGGGCTGTGACAAGGCAGGGCATCAAGGCAGGAGCACATGGCAGAGGAAGCTGCTTTCGTTTTGGCCAGAAAGCAAACATAAAGAGACAGAAAGGTGCTAAGGTCCTAGCACTGCCTTCAAGGGCACGTCCCAGTGACCTAAGGACCTCCAAGCAGCCCTGCCCCATGAATGTTCTACCACCTCCCAATAGCAGCACGGGCTGGGGACCACGTCTTTTAACATATAGGCTTTTGGGGGTCACATCCAAATTATAACACCCCAACTATTAAGAACAAGGTGAGATTGGTTTATTGTTCCACAAATTATGGAAAGTCAGTGGCCTTCCTCAAGATGTAGGGAGGGTGTTGGAGACTTATCTGCCCTCATGGCCTCCGGCTCCTAAGACTTCCGCCCCTCAGGATCTCATGCTCATGAGAATTCACCCATTTTCTTTATTTCCACAGCTCCCTCTGCTCTTGGGTAGGAAAACCTTCAGGGAGGCTTCTGTGTGAATAGCAGACTCCACTGAGGGCCCCGGGAGACAGAGCACGGTGTGTTCCACAGGCCTGGTACTGAAAAATTCATCACTCAGACGTCTCACCATTTGTGATGCTTCTGGAAGTTTCTCAAGGCTCTAACTTTCTGGACCTCCCCTTCTGTCCTCACCCTGGTCTCCTGTGGATGAGAGACTCAGGTTTTCTACTCTTTCCTGAGTCAGAGTGTTTCCTGAGACCCTCAGGGACAGCTTTATTCTCCTCCTTGGGCTCCTCGTCTCATTGCCTGGGTTATGAAATCCGTGGCTTTATTAATCACTCTGAGACTCTTAAAATCATCAGTTCTTTCTCAGTTTCATCAAATGTACCCTGACTGTGTACACTGGGACTGAGGTTGACTCAGAAACTGGGTACCCACACCTCATGTCCCCCCTCCTGCTCACTCGGGGACTTATGTTTGCCCAGCAATTCACGGAGGTCAAATGCAAGCATGATTGGCCTAATTTATCCCCCCTCCCCAGACCCTCCCTCATCCCACTACTTTCTCATATACGAGAATGGGGCAGAGTGATTCCCCCATTATTATATATAAAAACCACCTGTCCTAATTGGTGACCAGTCTCAACCGCTACTTCCTGTGGTCAGGAACCTCTCTGTCACCCACCACTCAGTGGGTTGGTGGCCCAAGAGAGAAGACCGACGGTGGCTTTGTTTGTAGAATGGAACTTTCTGGTTGTGAGGGTCACTGTCCCTTGCTGCCTCCTGTGCTTTGAGCAGTGGAAGTGGATCAAGCCTTCCCCTTTTCGACCGGGGCTGCCTTTCCTACCGTCCTGTTGAGTTCTTGTTGCACGTCGGGCTCTGTTTTGTTTTTCAGTAGTCAGAGCCAATGCTGCTGCCCAACCGTGGCACTGAGAGAGAAGGAGAGCGCTCTGCTGTCATCTAACAATAGGAGACTCCCCCCACCCCACCCCCACACACTTGGTGATGTCATCCAGAGACAGATGAAGGCGAGGCTTGTGTCTGGGGCAGGCTCCGAACTGAAAGGGAAAGAAACCCTGAGCTCACAGCATCTGGAGAGGAGTGATCACCCTCAGGGTGCCACAAGTCACAGACTCCTGCCAATTCTGAGAGAGCAAGAGCAGGAGGAGGAACGGGAGAGCGAGTAGCTGTGGTGGCAGTTTCCTGGGAGTTTCCCAGGATCAGGGAGGTGCAGGGAACCTTGGGAGTCGCAGCAGAAATACGGCACCTTAGTGTGAGCCTAAGTGGAGAGGAAAGGAGGGAGGGGGCTGGGGAGATGGCTCCTGACCCAGCACTGCGGTTCACTGAGGGCTGGGGTCAGGGTGAGTCCAAGCCCTGTCTCCTCTGTGCAATTGCAGTTCAAGAATCCTTTGCAACTTCTTGGGAGTGGGTGGCAGGCACTTTGTCCCCAAAGCCTGACAAAAGAGGAATGTGATAGGCATTTTTGGAGGTTAACATCTTGGGTGTAGCTGGGTGAGTTAACTGACCCTGTCTCCCTCCAGCCCAAGTGCAAGTAAGAGCGTCCCTGGGTGGGACTTCTGCAGAAGGAGGCAGGGATCTGAGGGGCGGGGGAAACGGAGCCAGTGCAGCATCTTTTGGATGTCTTCTGATGTAGGAGGGTCAAACTGACCTTTTGGGGACTGTGAAGGTGACTGGCCAGCCACCACCTGCACAGTTTTTGCAGGCTTGCAGTATTTGGTAGGGCATTGCTTGGAGGGTATCCCTGGCCACACTGTCTTGTCCCTTGATTTCTGCAGGAACACACACGTGCGGTTCCCCAAATCCAATACCAGCAGCGCACAGTTGCTTGCCTCGTGGACACGCACATCCTTTGGTTCCTGCAATTGAGGTGAGTCATGTCACCCCAGTCATGTCACGGCATGTCCTAAAGCCCTTTCACTCCTCCTCCTACTTCCCATTGACTCACGCTTCCCCCTGGCTGTCCCTAGAAGGTGAGGTGATCCTTATCTGTGTCAGCAGAGTAGGAAGCAGGAGGAGAGGAAGTGGGAGAGAAGGGAGGTGGGGACCTCTCTGCACCAGCCCTGGGTGCACCCTGCCTTCCCTGGGGTGGGGCCTGTCCACAAAGCCCCATGCCCTGGCTTGCTTCTCCCTCAGCAGCGGGTGTGTTTTGGCGGGAGTAGCAGTAATTTTTTAACCCTTTCGGTTTTAGTCAACTTTTTCATTGCTGTTACAGGCACTATTTTAGAGGAGGAAGTTTATTTGGGGCTTATGGTTTCAGAAGTCTCAATCCACAGATGGCCGACTCTACTGCTCTGGACCCAAGGGGAGGCAGAACATCATGGTGAAAAGGTGTGGAGGAGGAAAGCAGCTCTGGACATGGCAGAATCACCTTTACAGTCCCCAAAAGGTCAGGAAGCAGAGAGATAACTCCCTGTACCATGGAGAAAATATAAACCTCAAAGGCACGTGCCCCCCTCCCCCCATGATCCATTTCCTCCAGCCACACCCTACCTGCCTAGAGTTACCACCCAATTAATCCCTATCAGCAGATTATTGCACTGATTAGGTCAAGACTCTCACAACCCAATCATTTCCCCTCTAAATGGTCTTGCATTGTCTCACACAGGAGCTTTTGGAGGACACCGCATACCCAAGCCGTAACACTCCCCCCAAGCATCACTCTGTGGATATGCATGCAGAGCCATGCCACTCTGGCTTGCCAGGGAAATTCTAGCAACAGGTCCTTTTCAGCATCACTAGTGTCATTCATTCACAAGACAATTTGGGGGCCCCTTCAAGGGCAGAGGTCCTGCAAACTCTCGGGGATCCACATGGTGAAGAGTTTCTGAGAGTCTCACAGTTTGGAAGAGGGTGAAGCCGTGAGCTCACTGACTTCTCCCAAAGACCTCTGTGGAGTAGGATTCAGGACCCGTGTTTGACAGAGGAGGACTATGACGGCTTGGTAGGTTAATATGCCTGAGAGCACCCAGGGTGGGAAGGACCCACACTTCACACTCTGAGCTTTTTGATTTGTAGGCTCAAAGGTAAAGCCTGGGGCAAGGGCTGCTTGGTGCAGCCAAACCTGGAGGAGACTGAGGCATTTGGAGGAGATGATTTTTTTTTACATTGATTTTATTTTTTTAAATACACGACAGAGGAATGTATTACGATTCTTATTACACATATACAGCCCAATTTTTCATATCTTTGTATAAAGTATGTTCATTCCAATTCCTGTCTTTATACATATACTTGTTTTTTTTTTGCATTACAATTCTTATTGCACATATGTACCACAATTTTTCATATCTCTGTATATAAAGTAGGTTGACACCCAATTCGAGACACCCAGTTTGAGTCTTCATACATGTACTTTGGATAATGATGTCCATCACATTCCACCATCCTTGCTAATCCCCTGCCCCCTCCCTTTCCCTCCCACCCCTCTTCCCTATCTAGAGTTCATCTATTCCTCCCCGTCCCTACCCCACTATGAATCAGCCTCCTTATATCAGAGAAAACATTCTGCATTTTTTTTTGGGGGGGGGATTGGCTAACTTCATTTAGCATTATCTTCTCCAACGCCATCCATTTACCTGCAAATGCCATGATTTTATTCTCTTTTATTGCTGAGGAGGAGATGATTTTTGAGTTGGTCCTCAAGCTTTAATAGAAGTTGATCAGGTAGATTCAGGAGAGACTGATGCCTCCACTCCATGGTCTGCATGAGGTGTCACTCATGCAGAGATGAGAAGACTGTGTCAGGGCCCCCCCAGGTCTGCCAAAGTCTGGCACAGTGGGTGCATGGGGAGCCAGTTCAAACGTCTGAGTGGGGTCAGGGAGTGGTCTCCTTCTAAGGAGAACAGGTACTATCCTGAAGGTGTTAGGGAGGTAAATACTTTGATGCAGAGGGTGGTTAAAATTGTGTACTTTTAAAAAGCTTTATTTTATTGGTTCTTCTTAGTTATATATAACAGTAGAATCCATTTTGATAAAATTGTACAAGCACAGGATATATCTTATTCTAAGTAGGACCCCATTCTTGTGGTTGGACACGATGGTGGGATGCACTTAAATATTTTCAGATTTGTTCATAGGAAAATCAAGTTATATTTATTCTACTGTCTTTCCTAACCCTATCCCTCTTCCCTTCTTCCATTTCCCTTTGTCTAATCTACTAAACTTCTCTTCTTCCCCTCCTCCTTGCTTCTACATATCAGCGAAAACATTTGACTTTTGGTTTTTTGGGGATTAGCTTATTTCAACTAGCATGATAACTCTAAATCCATCCTTTTACCAGCAAATGTCATAAAGTTATTCTTCTTTATGGCTCAGTAGTATCCCATTGTGTATATATATCACAATTTCTTTATCCATTCATCTGTTGTAGGGCACCTAGTTTGGTTCCATAGCTTAGCCATTGTGAATTGTGCTGCTATAAACATTTATGTGGCTGTGTCACTGTAGTATGCTGGTTTTAATTTTTGGATATATGCTGAGGAGTGGGATAGCTAGGTCAAGGTCAAATGGTGGTTTCATTCCTAGTTTTTTGAGAAATTGCCATACTGCTTTCTAGAGTGGTTGCACCAATTTGCAGTCAGTCCCACCAGCAATGTATCAGTAAATCTTTTCCCCACATCCTCACCAATATTTTGTTATTACTTGTGTTCTTGATAATTGCCATTCTGACTAGAGTGAGATGGAATCTCAGTGTAGTTTTAATTTGTATTTCTCTAATTGTTAGAGATGTTGAACACTTTTTCATATATTTGTTTGTTTCATATATTTGTTTCTTCTTTTGAGAATGGTCTGTTCAGTTCCTTTGCCCATTTATTGGTTGGGATTTTTTTTTTGTGTGTGTGTGTGTGTGTGTTAAGATTTTTGAGTTCTTTGTGTATCCTGGAAATTAATGCTCTATCTGAGGTGCAGGTAACAAAGATTTTCTCCTATTCCATAGGCTCTCTCTTCATGCTTTTGATTGTTTCTTTTGCTGTGAAAAGGCTTTTTAGTTTGATGCTATCCCATTATTGATTTTTGATTTTATTTCTTGTGCTTTAGGAGTCTTGTTCAGGAAGTTCATTCCTGTGCCAATATGTGGAAGTGTTGGGCTTAGCGTCTCATAGGTGCAGGGTGTCTGTTCTAATTCCTAGGTCTTTGATCCAATTAGAGTTGATTTTTTTTTGCAGGGTAAGAAATAGAGAGTAACTTTCATTTTGTTACCTATGGAGTTCCATTACCATTTATTGAAGAGGCTATCTTTTTTTTCTAGTGTGTGTTTTGGCACCTTTGTCTAGGATGGGGTAACTGTATTTATGTGGGTTTGTCTCTGTGTCTTCTATTCTGCTCCATTGGTCTTCTTGCCTATTTTGGTGCCAATGCCATTCAGTTTTTGTTACCATAGCTACACAGTGTAGTTTAAAGTCTGGTATTGGGATGCCTCCTGCTTTGTATTTCTTGTTAAGGATTGCTTTAGCTATTCTAGAACTCTTATTTTTCCAAATGAATTTCATGTCGTTTTTTCTGTTTCTATAAAGAATGTCACTGGAATTTTGGTGGGAATTGCATTGAGTCTGTGTAGCACTTTTGGTGGTATGTCCATTTTGACAATATTGATTCTGCCTATCCAAGAACATGGAACTCTTTCATCTTCTAACGTCTTCCTCAATTGCCGCAGTCCGGCTGCAGCAAAATAACGGGGGGGGGGGGGGGGGGGGGGCGGTGACAAAGAACTTGTGTAGATTGATACAGCAGGAGTGGGAGCCGTTTATTGCAGGACATTCCACACAGCTTATCTAATTAGCATAAACTAGATACATTAGTCAACCAATAAGAAATCTCCACACTTAATGGTTCGCTGGCTCCACCTCACAAACCACTCCCTCTGGCATTTTGCCAGGCGCCATCCAGACTTGTTTACAGACCCTAACATTTTCCAGGCGCCATCCTGACTTGTTTACAGACTCTAACACTCAATTTCTTTCTAATGTTCTGTGTAGAGCTACTTCACCTCTTTTGTTAGCTTGATTCCTAAGAATTTTATTTTGGGGGGAGGCTTCTGTGAATGGAACGGATTTCCTAATTTCTCTTTCAGCTGATTCATCACTGGAGTATAGGAACACCATTCATTTACGGGGGTTGATTTTATATCCTGATACTTGGATGAACTTGTTGATAAGTTCTAGAAGTTTTCTGGCAAAGTTTTTTTTTCCTTGGTGGGGGGGGGGAGATATTCTTAATATAGAATCATGTCATTGGCAAATAGAGATAGTCTGAGTTCTTCTTTTCCTATCCATATCTCTTCAATTTCTTTCTTTTGCCTAAATCACTCTGGCTAGAGTTTCAAGGACTATGTTGAATAGAAGTGGTGAAGGTGGGCATCCCAGTTCCTATTTTAGAGGGAATACTTTCAGTTTTTCTCCATTTAGAATGATGTGGCCTTGGGTTTGTCATTTGTAACTTTTACAAGGTGGAGGTATGTGCCTTCTATCCCTAGTTTTTCCAATGTTCTAAAAATGAACGGATGCTCTATTTTGTTAAATATTTTTTTTCTGCATCCATTGACATAACTATGTGTTTCTTGTCTTTAAGTCTATTTATGTGATGTATTACATTCACTGATTTCTGTATGTTGAACCAAACTTACTTCCCCAGGATGAACCCCACTTGATCACAGTGCACTATCTTTTTGATGTGTTTTTGTACGTGATTTGTCAGTATTTAATTCAGAATTTTTGTACCTATGTTCATCAGGTATATTGGTCTGAAGTTTTCTTTCCTTGATGTGTCTTTTTCTGGTTTTGGTATCAAGATGATACCAGCTTCATAGAATTAGTTTGGAAGAGAGATCTCCTTTTTTATTTTGTGAAATAATTCGAGGAGGATTGGTGTTAATTCTTCTTTAAAGGCCTAACAGAACTCGGCTGAGAGTCCATCAGGTCCTGGACTTTTATTTGCTGGTAGGCTTTTGATGGCTTCTTCAATTTCATATCAGAACTTGACCTGTTTAAATATTCCATGTCCTCTGGTTCAATTTGGGTAGGTCACATGTCTATAGGAATTTGTCAATATCTAGATTTTTCTAGCTCATTGGAATAAGAATCTTCAAAGTACCTTCCAATAATCCTCTGGATTTCATTAGTGTCTATGGCAATATTTCCATTTTCACCACAGTTTTAACAATTTGAGTTTTTTCTCTTTCTTTTAGTTAGCTTGGCTAAGGGTTTATTGACTTTATTCTTTCAAAGAAGCAACTTTTTGTTTGGTTGATTGTGTGAATTATTATTTCACTGAGTTCAGCTCTGATTTTGATTACTTTCTGTCTTCTATTGATTTTTGGTGTTGATTTGTTCTTTTTCTGGGGCTTTGGGATTTAATGTTAGATTATTTATTGGTGTATTTCTATTCTTT